GAATTAAAAACGCTAGGCCCAAAATTACACAAAAAGTGGAGAAATCATTAAAGGCTGTAGTCTGGAAAAATGAACGGCATCTTGATAGAAGTATGGTCGTGACCGTTACACTATTACTTTCGACGATGTCTGACATGTAGCCCGCAGGAATCTGAGTGCAAGAATTAGTCTTCTGTGATTTAAGACCTGTTGGTAAAAACTGAAAGTTCCCTTATTTCACCCTTCTGGACCCCCGTTTATGCTAGAGTCAGGAAGACCGGAGCTGGAGTTGGGCGTAGCAACTGACAGAGCCTTTTAGCATGTGCTACACACGAAACTATCAGGTTTTCTCACGAAAGAAAGTGGGTGGCCTGTTGTTGTGGGCCAAACACGAACTGCGCCAACAACATGTGTGCACGTCTCGAGTGTGTGAGAGACCAAGAAACACGCTTTCCATCGACCTTAGAGACGCCGAGTCAGTGCCTGGGGGATATCGGAAGGTTTGTGCTTGGTGTATGCGCTGGTGAGATGTGTGGTGAAATAGTTTGATCAGTAGTGCGAAAATGTAGTGTTGAAGCACTTAGTGCTTCCAACGCACTCAAATCATCAGGCAGAATCTGGGGTTGCGCGAAAAGACAATAGTCATCAGAATGAGGGTTTTATTGTGCACAGAACTCTGAGCTGCTGACCCAAACAGCAGTGGCCAGTGACGAAGCCAATGTTAACTGAGAGGCAACGGTAGCAGCTGCTTTTACATGATTGTGGAGTTAGTTAAAGTATTTTCGAGTACAAAAGCCCACGCTGCATCAGCCTGGGAGTGGCGCGTCCCAGTGCATCCGCGTTTGTGCATGAGTGCATGTCAGTCAAGGGTCTTCAGATCAGCTAGTCAGAGAAAGCCAGACAGCATTGTTGACTGTCCACCACAATAGTTGGCCCGCACATAAATCTTTATGCTTCCTGAAAATCATCACAAGGCCACCTATTTTAAGGTAGTCGTTCGTTCCTATTTCCGTTTCCTGTTGAGGTCAACATACAAGTGATCCCCACTCGATCAGTTTACTCCAGTTGGTTAAAAAGTTGTTTCTCCCACCTTTGGATTGCTTCAATGACAAGCATCTGTAGGTTGCTTTTTTGACCAGTT